GGGGGGGGAGGGGCCTGGGGGCCGTGTGTTCCGATTCATGGGGAGTGTTGAGACCACCACACCAATAAACGCCTTTTTCCAAAGTCTCTGCCTGCAGGTGTCAATGTCATTCAGGATTTGGGTGCATGGAGGTCGTCGGTGGTGCCTCCCCAGCATCATACCATCATCTCTCTTCAGTAGATTTGGGATTGAGCCATTACAGAGGTGGCCTCTGATTGGCTTAAGCTACTGGGCATAGGCCATTTTTCACCAGGGCTGGCTCAGAGGTGGGCGCATGACCCGGTCAGCCTAACGAGAGAGTGAGTACCGGGGCTCTATGGGATTAGCAAGAAGAGACAGTCTTCCGCTGGATCACGTGACTCAATGACGTGCGGTCCAGGCCTTCGTCACAGGGAAAGATCTCGGGTCTGTGGGGACAGCATTGGTGGGGAAGATGGAAAGCGGGGCTTGAGAATGACAGAAACGCTACAACATGCAGAGTGAAAGGTCCTGAGAAACAAAGTCCATGATGACACCATTGAAGCTGCCAAACCCAAAGTCACCTGATGCCCACCTTCACCGACATAAGCAATAAAGTCCCCTGCGTGTTTAAGCCGATTCGTGTTAGGTGTTACGTCTCTGATGATCAAAAAGGAAATGAAAACTCTAATTGATATAGAAGAGATAAAGAGGGTCCAGGTAGCCAGGACCCCAATCCTCAACTTTTCAAAATGATCCAAGAGCTCTGTTTCCCAAAGGCCTCTTTGGCCTGTTTTTAACCAGAATGCCTCACACCTTTTCCTCTCCTGTGCTTTAGCTATTTCTTTCCTATTTCTTCTCCATTGTCAGACCCACCTCCCGTGATATAGTCCGGGGTATTTGGTTTCCCAGACTCCCTTGCAGTGATACGGCCAGTTTTGGGTCAATGAGACATAAGGAAAGTTTCTGGTAGGCTTCCAGGAAAGTTTTTTTCCCCACTCATGAGGTTGGTCGAGGGGAGAGTGTGAAAAGAGAACCCTGCTCCCTCCTTCTTGGCTTCAGATACAGTTGTGTGAAGATGTGGTGCCTGGAGCTGCAGCAGCCATCTTGCTACGTGAGACAACGCGCCAACTCCCTGAGGATGGTACAGCACGACGGTGCAATGAGCCCAGGTCCTCGATGGGGGACACAAAGTTGCTGACCCAGCCTCGAAACCACCCACCTTCGTATTTCTCGCCATCATTTACTCTGTTATCGGCGGCCAAATTTGATGCACCCCCTAAATTTCATTGATGCACCCCCTAAATTTCCACCGAGAAACTCAGCTGAAGAAAAAAGGAAGACATCATGCTGGAGAGCAGCAGCAAACCCAGCCCGTCACTGGCACCAAAACGTTTGATCGGTTAACCAATATTTATCGGTTGCCTGCTGTTTGCTGAGCTCTGTGTTAAATTCTGGAGACAATGACGTGGTCTCTGCCTCCACGAAGCTCGAAGCTCTCGGCTTAGAGAGGAAGTCAGAGGCTAAACAAGTAATGATTTATTTACAGATGTGAAGCAGAAGGTTCAGGGTCGCTAGGACTTAACCCATGACCAAGGCAGGGGTTGAAGGAGGGTCTTCTAAGATGGTGAGGGTCACTTTTACACTCGGGAAATAAACGACACAGGGGAAAGAGCCGTGCTCCAGGCGAGGGACACTCTAGAGGCAAAGGCCTGAAGGGAGAATAAAGTATGGCAGAGAGAAAGCCTTTGCTTCTAGAGCGGGGTGGGGGCGCGTACTGGAAGGGGAGTCAGAGAGGCTGATGGAGGCCGGAGCACTAGGCTCGAAGGTCATGATGAGTCTGGACGGTATCTGAATGACAATGGGAAGCCACGGAAGAGTTTAAAGAGAAGAGGGACATGTGATCTGATCCGTTTTATGATGAAGACGCTGGAAACTGGTCGGGTGCGGCCTGGAGGAGGCAAAAGCGGATGTCGGAGGCCTTTTCGGAGATGCTCGGGGCCCAAGCCCCACCTGTCTGCTGCACGGCCTGCATATCTCGCCTGCTGGGTGGTTTGCAAACCACACTGTGAGATCCACGATCCACGACCCACAGGCGGGCGTCTGCCCCCAGCCCAGGAGTCTCATTTCCTTATGCAAACACAGGTGGAGTCTTCCAAGGTGAGAGAGTAAGACAGAAAGTCCCACTTTTGGGGTCCAACCTTCAGTCACAGCAGGACGGGAAGGCCCTGCATGCTGCTGGGGCGAAACAGGAAGTCCCACCCAGAAATTCCCGTGCGGAGCAGGCCATTAGCCTCGGTCACACCTGTGTGGCTGATCGAACAGTTTTCGGGCCCCCACCTGGAGAGACGACTGGACTGGGGCTGGTGGCCTGGAAGAGAGAGGAGGGGCGAGGGACAACCTCAGCGGTTACCCTGGACGTGACAATGACACTCTTTTCTAGCATGCTAGCTCACATGATTCAAAAATTAGCTGGGTTCTCTCCATTTGCGAGGAATAAAAAAAAAAAAACATGTCTAGCCACCCTTGGGAGAGGTGAGACACGAAACGACCCAACTTCATGGAGGAGAAACTGCATCCCATTTCGGAGACAAAATGGAAGTTTTGCCCATTTTTATGGGAAAAAAAATAAAGGAGGTCCCACCTTACTCTCCTCTGAGGAAAAATCGTAACTTTGTTCTTCTTTTAAAATACATAAACTTTGTATGGGAAGCTCTGTCCAACTCTTATATATGTAAAAAGGATAAAATTGTAGCAGCTTCTTAAAACAACGAGTAAAGCTGGAGGAAGAGAATTCGGACTGCCGTGTGCCTGATTAAACGACAAAAACAGGGCGTCGCGGGGGCTCCCCCACTCACTTGGTGGGCTCTGGTTGGGCTGGGGTCCTCCGGCGGGACTTTGAGGGGCAGAGGCGGTGGGGCCTGCTCTGGGGCCACACTCTGCGACTTCTTTTCTGGTGGGGGGACCACAGGGAAAAAGGCGGGGAGATGCTTCTTTTTCTTGAGAGTCTCTCCTGAAAAAGAGAGAAGACGAAGAGACGCAGAAACACGTGACACGCAGACCCGACCAATGGCGAGGGAAGCTGGGCTGAAGTGGAGCCTCAGTATGATTGGCTGATATGGAGGTAGGAAGGCGGGATGGATGACCCGAAACTGCGCTGATTGGCCCAGCCGAGTCTCCAATGGAGTTTTATCTGAAGATCCTACCTGCTGGCCCATCACTCACCCCGAAAATGGCGCAGGCAGCAGATGCACAGAAGGATAAGTCCTGCCAGGAGTGCCAAGCCTAGGAGGGAGCCCAGGACGATGCCGGCGATGGCCCCGGGGCCCAGGGTGGGGCCTGGAAGAGACAAAGTGAAGGCTAAGGAGAGCAGGAGGCGTGGCCGGGCCTGTCTCCCAAGCCCCGCCCCCCCACCCCAAGCCGCTCAGGGACCAGGAATCCGGGACCCAGCTTTCTCAATTCATTTAACGTTTACGGAGCGACCGCGATGGGCCTGGCATTCTACCAGGTGATGAAGATCCATCGGCGAGCAAATCAAGATAACGACTCTCATGGGGATTCATTTTAGGAGAGAAATCAGAAATGAATGAGCAAATAAATAACGTAATTACAGATTGTGCTCAGAAGAAAAATAAATATGTTGTGATTGAAATAATGGCAGGGGAGGTGACATTTAGAAAGGGTGATGAGGGAAGGTCCCCAAGGAAGGAACGTATTAGCGGAGACCCGGAGGATAAGGAGCCGGGCGTGCTAAACAGGGCGAAGGATGTTTCAAGCAGAGGGAACAGAAAACGCAAAGACTCAGAGGTCGGGAAGAGTCTTCTGTGTTCAGCGAAGGCCAGTGTGGGTGGAAGGTACGAAACGAAAGACGAAGAGGAAGAGGATGGCGATGGAGGGCTGAGCGGGGACCAGAGCCTGGGGAGCTCGTAGGAATGTATGTAAAGCTTTTGAGGAGGTCAGCGGCGACATGGTCCAATCCGAATGACTCTGGCTCCTACGTATGAAGAGTAAGTTGTAGGAGGGCATGGGGGGGGCGGGTATCACGAGATTTGGCTGCTGTAGTCAAGTCAGGGGGGGATCGTGGTATCTGACGGGGGCGTCTGCGTGGAGATGGAAAGAAATGGATGGACTAGAAATGCATTTTGGAAGGCAAGTTGCCAGGACCTGCTGGTATTGGGGATGTCAGAGGTGACTTGAGCATGTGGGTGATGCCATCATCCAGGCTTGGGAAGACTGGGAGTTGTCAGTGGGGGAGGGGGGATGGAAAAGACGGGGGGACACAGTTTGGGGCAAAAACGTTGAGAAATCTGTTTTGGACATGTGAAGTTTGAGAAGCCAATTGGACATCCAAAATGAAGAAGCCAGGTTAGGGAGGTGGCTTTTCAGATGTGAAGTTCAGAAGAAAAGTCTGGGCTTGGGATCAGACATTCGAGAGTCATACGAGTAATAATTAAATTCAAGGCAGAGAGAATAGACAGAGTCACCCTGGGGAGACACACAGGTAGTGAAGAGGTCTGAACGCCGAGACATCCAATACTTAGAAGCTGGGGATTGTTATGGGTTGACCTGTGTGTCCCACCAGAAAGCTATATTGACACTCCAACCCCAGCGCTTGTCAACGTGAACTTGTTTAGAAATAGCGTCTTTTCAGATTATCTTGACTTGATTACACCTGCAGAGACTCTATTTCCAAATGAGGTTACCTTCGCAGGTCCCGGGGGTGACGATGATAATATACCCTTTTTGGGGAGATGCAATTCAACCATTCAAGTCAAGGTGAGATCATTAGGGTCCACCCTAACCAGTATGACTGGTGTCCTTACAAGTATAAGCCAGAGACACACACAGGGAGGAGGAGGCCGTGGCAGAGATTGGACCGACATGGCTGCCAGCCATGGAAGGCCAAGAATTGACAGCCATCATCTGAAGCTGGAGGAGGTGAGCAAGGATTCTACCCGTAGTCTCAGAGGGGACACAGCCCCGCTGACACCTTCGTTTTGGACTTCTGGCCTCCAAAAGCTGTGAGAGAACGCGTTTCTGTTGTTTCTGCCACCCAGTCCGTGGTCCTACATTCCGGCAGCCCCAGGAAAGTAATGCCGGGGAGCGGAAGGGTCCACTGAAACAGACTGAGGGAGGCAGCCTGGGGGGGCTCCCATGGCCCCAACTCACCGGCTCTGTACACTCGGCTTGATGAGGGCGTCCCCGGCTGACGCCCCAGAGTGGGCAGGACGCGCAAGGCCCACGTCCCGGGGTTCCGAGGAGGGAGGGGCACCACAGCAGATCGCTCCCGAGGCCCCAGGACGAGCAGGGAGACCCAGTCCCTGTAAGTGTTGGCTCTGCCCTGCTCAGGCCCCTCCGGCCGAGCCTGGATCTCAAAACCGCTGATCAGGGCCCCGCGCTCCACATCCCAAGTCAGCACTGCTGCATCCTGGGCTCTCTGCAACCTCCACGAGGAGATAGAGGGTCCTGGGGAGATCAAGGCGGGTGGGCGGGATTTGTGGGTCCTGGAGGGGAGAGGGAAGGGGGCTGCTGAGGGCCTGGGCTCATAGGTCCCTGGGGAAGAGGGTCTAAGGACCCAGACTTCTGGGTCAACAAGGGGAAGGGGCTGGGGGCCTGGACTCCTGGGTCTGAGGAAGGAGGGACTGAGGATCTGGATTTCTGAGTCTGAGGGGGGCGGGCCTGGGGATCTGGACTCCTCAGTTCTGGGAAGAACAAGAACTCACCAGAGAGAGTGATGTGGTCGCCCCCAGCACCCAGCGCCCCACTGCACAACACGGAGTAATTTCCCAGGTCCCAGTCCAGGCTGAAGTTGCCAATGAGTAGAGTCTGCCCGTCCTGGCTGAGCCGCAGCCGGCCCCCACCTCCAGTGGCCAGGGGCCGCCCTTCCCGGGCCCAGGACGCTCTGGAAGGTGGCCGACAGCCAGAGGCCTCCAGCGCCACCTCTGCCTCCCCTGACTGTGTCTCCTCCACCGTCGGATGCAGTAGCACCTCTCGAGGGGCCTCTGCAGGCGCAAGAAAACCAGTCAAGGAGATCGGGACCTTGTCCTGCCTGGAGTCACAGAAGTCCCGCGTCCTTGGGTGAATCAGCGATGAAGGCTCGACGCCTCAGCCACATGAGGAAGCGCGGCCCTTCGCTCCCTGCGCGTCACTCATCGCCTTTCCTTAACGAGGACTGACTAAGCACATGCCAGAGGCCAGGTCCTGGGCTGAGACACTCGTGTGATTCTCAACGATTTAGTGCTCTGAACACGTGAGAAGGTGTCAGCCATTTTCCTGGACCCAGGAAAGAAATTTCGTCCCTGCCCCGCCTGACATATAGGAAAACCCTGGGTCCTTCTGTAGAGCTAAAGACCAAAAAATAATAATAATAGAGTTTTATGTAATAATAATAATAATAATAACAATAATAAATCAATCCTTTTTCCTGGAGTTGAGAAGTCTCCCTTTCTCATGTCCTAAAGGAGGGAAGAAATACCCCGTCCTCCTCTGGAAATAGGAAAGAAGTCTCAGTCGCTCTCACCTGGGGTAACAGTGCAAGTGCGCGTGGTCACCAGGTGGCGAGCAAGGCACGTGACGGGGACGCCGCTGAGCCGAGGGTGGGCGGGGACAACCGCCAGGAGCACAGAGTGCATCGGCCCCGCGCGGACGCCTTCGGGGAGACCCTGGAACAGCAGGGAGGCGGCAGGGGACCCGCCAGGCCACCAGCAACGGAAGCGGAGGCTGCGGTCCCCCGGGCCCCCTTCAATGGAGCACTGTGGGGACCCGGGGGGCAGATCTGTGGAGAGGACAGAGAGAACGAGAGGTCAGCTTCACTGCCATCTCCCCTCTAGCCGGGTCTCACCACGCATTCACCCAACCCCTTCCTCACTTAGCCCCGCCCCTTCTCCGGGTGACCCAGCGCTGGGTCGCTTCCACTCTTTCTCGTGGGTGTCCCCTCCTCTTTTACAAGGAAACTCCGCCTTCCCTGCGCTCTTCCTTGACGGCCCCGCCCCTCCGCTGTGGCCCCTCCCACCCACATGCCGGCCCTGCCCCT